GCCAGTGCTGGAGACGGAGAGCGTGGCCGTGGCCACGGCCGCCGCAGACGCCAGTCAGAGGGCCTGGGGGTGGGCTGCAGTCCGGGTTCTGCCGGTGCCCCCCGTGCTGACCCAGCGGCCTCGCCGGGCAGCTGAAACACAAGGTACGTCCTTACCTACCCACGATCCCTTCCCACGGCCAGCTTCGTCAATAGCAGGCGACCGAGCACACGCCACTCGCGACCACTCCACGCGTACAACGACTCGAGACGATATTTCCTCCACAATTTTTATTTTAAATTACAAAGGATGTTGCATACATTGATGAATTTGTATCTGAATAGAAGTGCTAGGGATCAAGGGTGACAGAGTAAACAAAGTCAATAGTTTAATTGTGCCTCTTTTCAAAAAAATAAAAACTGCACAACTATTAACCAACATTAAACATTGCAACTCTTAACAGATCATGCTTTTAACAAGGTAAATTTATTTTCTAACAGAGACAAGACTTTCAGTAAGTTTTTCTGAGCTCCAGTTGGAAGTTGAGTATAAAATATCAAGGACAGCATTACAATCATGACCCCAAGCATAGGCAGAACAGAATGCCATGTTTTGTTTAAAATGCTTTTTGTTTTTGCTTGTCAACCACCTATGTCTGCATGTGCCATCAGCCTTAAGAGTTCACCCAACCACAAATACTGAGCAATAAGTTTTACTTGGACATAATATTCTGGGAGGATAGGTGATTCAAATCAGAGTGTATGAATATCTATCATTGTAAGACAGATTAATAAAGGGAAGTGGTACAGCTAGGTTCCGTTTCTTAATCAGAAGATTTTGATAGGGCGGAGCGTGCTTTTGCCAAGATCAAATCCAATCCTGAAGTCTTCCTTAGAGTAGCTAGTTACCCAAATTTGACTCACACAGACACCCAACTACAAACTCAAGAAAAACTCTGAACACTGATGTTATCGAAAAAGTTTGGAGGTGTTTTTTTTTTTTTAATGAAAAAAAAAAAAACGACCAACAACCCAACAGAAAAATGTAGCTTAAAATAGCTCTGGCTCCACAGCTCATTGGAAAGACAATAAATGCATAGTCAGTATTTGCTCTTGTGGAAGGAAGTTCATGAATGTCTAAGAGGCTGAGGATTATAATTCAGTGCGCACACACACCTTATCACACTAGAAGCATTGCGGGGAAAACATGGCATATTGTGAAATGTAAATTGTAGAAAGATAGAGACATTTTTGTATGCTGCAAAGAAGTTAGAACCTAAAAGTGCTGTCTTTCATTAATGACATTAAAAATCCCAATTTATATTGGGAGGTATTAAAGAGTGGTGTTTTCTCAACATACTAATGCCCTTAATACAGTTACAAGAAGAATCAGTCACTGAAGCAGTAACTGTTTGAAATGTTCTTCAAACGATCCCTGGGGTAAACAAAATAAACCTCAGCTATGTGCAAGGCTGTGTCAATAAGCCAAGACCACATCTAGCAGCACACTTCACTAGATGATTCCAACTGAAGCCTCCAACTTAAAAAGAAAATAAAATCATGATTAGATGTGTTCTTGAAATTCAGGTCTCAAGCCCAAATACAGATCCTAACATTCATGGTACGTAATTGGGTTATGCTTCAACAGAATTTCAGGAAGACTAGCAAGCACATTTGAGGAACAGAATTGCATTTGCTATTTCTGCTGAAGGCAACTTGTATACAACCCTTTGAAATTCTCCTGATAAAGCCTCTTAGAGCTTTAAAAAAATATCTACCTTTCAATGATTTATGGAAAAGAAAAGCACATCCAGTCTTTATATTTTGTGAATAAGCTAACTGTTTTATTAATGAAGGCAAATACCAGATAAATACTAGGGGGAGGGAGTCTTTTTAAAATAAAATCGAAACTGACACCACTGTATTTCAGAAGTGTCTTGTTGCTTTTAGGTTAGTTAAAAGACCCTTCATCCATTTTTTTTTTTCCTGTTTGATTTTTATTTTTTTAAAAAAACCCTTTTTCCTGGCCCTCTTAGTATGGAAAAGAGTCTATCTATAAAGGATTAGGAACTGAACACAGCTGAGCCTGACTCTCACATCAGCTTTACAGCAATGCAACTTCATTAAATCACAATGATTTCAACTGGTATGATAAGAAAATCCAGCCCATCCACACGTAAACATAGCTTTAGTAGTAAGTCTCTCTCATCCAAAAAAAAGTACTCACCAAGTATCAGTAAATGTGTTCAATAAATCATAAAAGGAAGCGTTAGCAAAAGGGGTTTAGGGCTAAAAAACACCCTTCATGAGCACCCCCACATTTTGCAAGGCCATTCAAAAACTGGTCTTCCATATAAATAGAAAAGGACTACTATTGAGAGAAACTGAAATCAGATCTATCCCGACTTTCTTGAGGATGCTTTTATCAGTTCTGATTCAATTTCAGAAGGGTTAGGTTTGAAGAGTTCAGAGGGAATGAAAAACAATTAGTTCTAGATGTACAAGTAAGGCACAATATAAAGCCACATCATCATCTGTCATGAAGGAAGTAGGAAAGGACGAGAATCATACATGGTACAGTAGAACAAGCAGTCCATCAATTCAAAGTGTGGCACCTAAGTTCAGACTGACAAGATCTCAACAAGAGCAGTTATGACAGCATGCTTTTAATATGGAAACAAATTCTAGAGAATCCAGTGTATCAGAAAAAGGAAGAGCTTTTGTTTGTATTAAATCAAAAACGTGTAATTGTTTTTGGATATAGGATTAAAAGTGAATATTCACAATGCCTACACTGAAAAACAAACAAAAAAAAATCCAGGACTTCATTAAGATCCACATACCATGTATGAACACTGAAAATCTTTAGAAAATGGTCTTCTCTAAAGATCATCCAAAAATGCATGCCACAATTGCCAAAAAACAGAACATGTACATTTGTTGGTTTTTATACCCTTATAAGATTTTTGTTTGTGATAAGTATACACTAAATGTATATATTTTAATGACACTAGAAGAAGCAGATTGTTACTGGCATTAAAGTACAACCATTTCTAGACGGTTTAAATGCCACAGAGTCCCCTGGTTAAAATGTAAAGCTGCACAGCTTGCCTATGTCACCTTTATGATAAAGTTAAACCAGCAAAAGGTCTTATCTTTACTCTACATTTTACTGCCAGGTTTTATTTATATCAAGTATCGCTGCAGCATTCTGACCAGCCCAGAGTTAGCAGCAAGTGGCAGGAATCATATAAAACGCAGTTTGTTTTTTTTTTTTTTTTTAAACAAAGTGCTTTTCTAAGATATACATACATATAAATAGGTACAAAATAAAGTGTCAACATTAAAAAGCTCAACTATTTAAAAGCTTTAACTTAAAATAATACATAGAAAACACTGAAATGCAGGGGTATGGAATTCACTAAGGATTCAACGTCTACTTTGAAATGCTAGACCAAAATCATATTCTGGTTTTCAGACAAAAATAAAAAGCTATAAAGTTATATTTGCCCAGTATTTCTGAGCAGTAAAAAAGGGGCTTTTTAATACCTTGTCAGTTTAATTTGTCACAGAAGTTTTTACCCGATTGCAAAACTGCCCTCTCAATGTTTGGAAATGCTGCCTTGTCGACGGTTTGGATGAAGGCTAAGGACCTCTCGTATCTGAGCAGTGCGTTAACACCATTCATCAGAAAGGAACAACAGTATCCAAATCTTGGTACAGACATGGCCTTAACTTCACAAGAGACATTCTTTGTCGGGTTTCTATGGGCCATATGCATCTCCGGAATAACTGCAATATCGGCCAATAATTACAACAGGAATACATCTGACCCACTGTGTAAAGCAGCAGCCGACTCTCACCTCACCCTAACAACAACAACAAAAACACCTGAAACAAAACCACCTACATTCCACTCAGATTTTGCAAGTCTTAAGTGGATTTACAAAGTTTTCCCTAAATTGCCCTGGGTATTTGTTCAGTCTCTTGTAGGAAAGACTTTCTGTACAGCTCAGTAGTGGTATTTTGGCCTCCTCCTCCCTTTTGAGTCTTCCAAAATATTTAGATACAAAGTAAGCTGTGTGCACACTCACAAGTATGCGGCAGGACTGCCACCTTCATCAGCCACTCTTACTGCATTATTACCGATTCAGACTCTTTTTTTATAGTACAAGCTTGGATATAAAAATAATCTACTTACAAACAAAAAGGAATCACAGTACAAACAAACTTAGACAAACTAGAAATGAAGTGGAGAAATTCCCCAAAGGGAGTGGGGAGAAAGCCTTCATGGACTTTTGCATTTTTTTTTTCAGCAGCTACATTTGAAAATATTTGGTATTTCTATTTTCAGTAAACAGTGTTTTGTCATCTTTAAATAGGGAGAGAAAGAACAGGGAGGAAAAGGGGGGGTCCATGAAACCAGAGAATGATCTTGCCTTGAGATAAAGGACTTTCTCATCAAAGGCTAAAGCTTTTAATCTGTACGTTAACACTGACTACAAAGCCAACTCTTATTAGCAGAAGAGCAAATAAGAACGGTGTGTTAATATTCCTCAATCATAGAAACTACTGAATTAACAAGAATAAGTCACATATAAGTTTGAAGAAGCTAGTTTCGAAATAACTGTACAAAAATATAAAAGTCTATAAATTTTTTTTTTGTTTTGTTTGAAGCCTGTGTTGATCCTTGGAAACATCACATGCATAATAATACATCAACTGGAAAAGTGGCAACTAAGGAATTAGATATTTGTAGCTCTTTTTTCTCTTTACATATATACACATTACAATAAAAATAATTTTATTTTGGTTGTTTGGTGGAAGTATACTACAACAAGCTAAATAGTTTTTTTTAAATTCTCAAAGTTGAAAACTATTTTACCAATAGCTTACTAAAATCCAAATATATTAAAATCTCCTACAGTAAGTGCAGAGAAAAAAGATTTAAAGACTCCGAGACGGCCACCAACTTATCTACCATGGAAGCGAACTACAAGAACAGCAAAATAATATTGTTATGTATGAATGCTCCTTCTGTAGATAATTGGACCCAAACAAAAAAATTCACAGTTCAGTAAGATCCCTAACCCTGACCTTTAATTTTTTTTTCTTTTTTCATTTGTTTTTACATTCAGTACAGTATCATGTAAGCTGTGCAAAACTTTACTTAGACTGGCAGTTCGCCATATCAGTTGCATTTGTCTTTGGTACAAAAATAAACAATCGCATTAATGTGCAAGTATTTGTTTTCTTCCGGCCAAAGTACCGAAATTGAGTTTTCTAGAGCCATCTTTTATACAATACATAGACTCTGTGGCATATATCTACATTTTCAACATAGTCCTATATACATTCAAAAATTTTAAGAGCTGGAACAAATACATTAAAACCTATAATCTTACTATCTATACATCTTGGTTTTTCCCCTCAGGGTTTTCTTCATACAAAACTTTACCAGCTTATACTGATAGCTCTCCCCCCAAAATACAAGGCACAAAGAATATACTTGTTTTCTCTTGCTTGCACAGACATTTAAATACTATATTAAGCTCAGAAAATTAAAGTCTTATATGGCACACTAGCTCTAATGCCATGTGTGCTATGTACAAGTTAATGGTTGCAAAGAAAGCTCACTGTTTTTTAAGAAGAACAAAAGAAAATCCAATTATTAAAAAAAAAAAAAAAGAACAAAAAACTCCCTAAATTGACAGCTTTACAAAAAAACCCCACGCTTCCTCTTATTTTACTTGGAGCATAAACCTCTCACAATGTCTGGCATATGCTAAAAATTTTTACTAGCAAAACCATGTTTTTTCCTCTAAAACAAAAGTGATATATTCTGGTCCTAGATAACTTAATTGTAAAAAGAATCCTCATCTCTGTATTTAAGCTTAAAGCAGCTTTGAAACTATCTGGTTTATGCTCCAAAAATGCTATTAAGCATTTTATATCATGCTTTGATTTGTTTTACTACATTGTTATTTAAAAACAATGGAACCTAACTGTAAGTGTTGACATAATGCTAAACTGACATGCAGACCAGAATGCAATTTACAATTAAGTACTTGACAACACAGGTAGAATCTGACCAATGAGAACAGCTGAAGCCATGTCTTAAACTTTTGACATTGGTATCCGTAGCCCTACAAGGCCACCGGTGGGGTCTCCTTCTGCAGTCTTCTCTAAAACTTGATTCACAAATTCTGATGTCTGTCCAGCTACAGGTAGTCCTAAAAAGGGAGGGTAAGAAAACGTGCTGTAAGGTTACTATTCACTGCACGTATTTGTACATTCCTATAAGTAATGCAAAGCCAAAGCACATGTTAGTCAGTAACCAACCAAAAGGCATAGACAACTAAAATGAGGAAGCGCTTCTTTCTTTTCTCTATTCCAGAAATTGTTTGCTATCTAAGGTACCACAGATGATACGTCTCTTCACATACTTGCAAATACATTAAGTTTCCTACTTACCAAGAGTGTCTTTAATAAGTACGTGCAACTTTTGTTCCATGTCGACTCCTCTATCATCTTTAGGGACCTGCACCCGATTAACTATTTCTTGTTTAATGGAGTTGATCACAAAGAGTAAATTATCTGCAAAGAAAAATCCTGGATTAGATTTACAGCACATCCCCTGGAGCAAAAGAGATCCACAGCTGTCCACACACTGTTATCTGTAAGTGTCAAAGGTGTCACATCACAGTTACTGTAAAATTAAGATGTAATAATTTACATCTGTAAACATATTTTCAAAAATATTTACATTACATGCAGACATTTACGTAATTTACATCTGTAAAGTAGCTCAACACTGCAGGTAACCCAATCTATGTACACTTTATGGAGTGGACTGTTTTTGTACCAACAAAATTGTTGCGTTCGTACCAACCCTGTTTTCTCTATAAACTGCCAGGTATGACCCAGGTTACACGACGGTGCAAAAACACAGACTTGTCTGAACAAAAGAAAAATTAAGATGTGAAGAGTTGTATTTACCATATTCCGTGTTGAGACCCCAGAGTTTTACTTTATTGGCTTCATACTGGGCTTTCTTTTTTAGTCTACAAGCCCTATAGTAAGAAGAGGGGAAGAATTAGAACACTAACAAAAATTCCAGAATACTAAGAGCATCTGTTTGTTTGCCACACAAACTTATCAACAAATACTCCCAGAGCTGTGAAGTACAAAATCATCTATCTACTCACTCACCTTCAACAAAAACACTCTGCTACCTATATTTGTGTATATTCCACGCTTATGGATTTTATCACTGTATCAGTCATTTGCCCTGCAGCTAAGTAAGCCAGCATCCAGTGGAAATACATGGCTATCTAGGGGTACAGGCTGACTGCATCTCCAAAGTGCCAGTTGCCCTGCTTTGTGATAAACTGGTAATTAGCCCATCGCAGGAACTGCCACCATGAAGCAGGATCTCTTGAAGCAACAATTAGTTAGATCTTAATCGTACAGTTGTAGTAATCCAAATTTTCTCATCCATGTAACGTTATCTCATATATACCTGGAAGCCAGCTTGTTCTTTTCTTTTCTCGACCTTGGTCTGGCAGTTAAAGGAAGTTCACTGACTGGCGTCAGGTCACTGATCACCTTATTCAGCTTCCTCAATTCATTACCAATCTGTAGAAGTTTTCTAGGGTTGGGAGTCAGGTCTTCTACATCAGTCCTTCGTGACTTCTTTGCTGCATATTTTCCTGTTTTAAATATGCGGAAAATTGGGTTGGAAAGTGACACAGTACGTACCCAAATCTGTGAAAAAACATTCTTAAATATGTATTTTTTTGGGTGCAGCTGAAGTTCCTTTGTTCATTACAAGAGAATGGACTGGAATCATGTGACCCCTATGGCCTTTCACAATAGAAAGAGCATTTCCAGACAAACTGCTTTGTACAATTTGTATTATATCCAGATCAGATAAGAGTAAATACTGCTGGCCAGGCTACTAGATGTGAGAGACAGTATACGCAAAACTGTACTGAAAAATGTATGTCACAAGTTCAAACCCAGTTGTTTTGCCCCAACTGTAACTTGCTAACTCATATATTCAGCCAATATGTTCTCTTGCACACGCAGGTTGA